ACAAACACTCTGCCAAATGACATCGGCATCCGAATTCGTAGCTGAATTTGAAAAAAAAAAAAAAAAATCATCCACTTTCTTTGACATTGTCGATGCTTAGCATTAGACGTTGTCGAAGTTAGACTTAACATGCTTCACAATGGCACTTCTTCCACCGTGACTTATTATGAAGTCACACATTGCAAATGCACCTTGAGATTCTTTAATTGTTGGAAATTCGGCTTTGTAGGCAGGCTGAAAATATTAAGAATACGGTTTTTTTGAACTTATTTTGTAACAACGAGGTATTAAGAAAATTTGTAGCACGTGGGGGAAAAAAAAAAAAAAAAAAAAAAAAAAAAAAAACAGAATGCGACAATCCACGCTCGCTGAATCCGAGCTGAGTAATTCCACAAGTTCAGCGATTGATGGCTGGTTTAGCGGCGGTTGGGAGAAAACCCCGCATGTTACTGGATTCGAAGTAGTCGGTAGTTGGCGGTAAAACCGATGCAATTGGCGAAATTCTAAAATTTCGACAAAAATCCTAAAAACACTTGAAAAGGAAAAAATCGTAAAAATGGATTACAACGTAAATCTAAAGACAAATGCATTTTCGTAAAAATTACGAAAAATTCGTACAAGTTGGCAGGTATGCACACAAATCTGGCCTGGAGTGAAACACTTCCAACTGTTCTTCTTGACCTATGCACAGCTATGCAAGAAGACTCTGCATACATCATTGCTCAAATGGTTTATGGACAAAATATACGACTACCTGGAGAATTTTTCCAAGATAGCACAAGACCTACACCACCTGATATTTTTGTCAAGCAGCTAAAAAAAACTATGGAGCAAATTGGACAAAGAACAGTATCTGATAACTATGTCAAAAAATATTCGTACCTAAAGACTTGAAAATAGCACCACATGTGTTTATTCGCAAAGATAAAGTTAAAAATCAATTAGAACCTCCTTATGATGGTTCTTTTCAAGTGGTTGACATAAAAGAAAACTATTTCACTGCAAAAAATCAACTACAAAGATGTTACAGTGTCCATTGATAGATTAAAGCCTGCATATTCCTTCCAAATACTAGATGTTACTTACGAGGCAATCAACAGCATCAATAAGACAACCTGTCAAATCTCCTAAAATTCAAAAGCTTCCTGCAAAACAGTCGTATATAGGATGGTCAATAAACCCCCCTGTACGATTTCAGGATTAGCATTTACATACATCTATAATATGTTTATATATATCTATTTCATTTTATCTATGATAAATAGTGTGTTTTTAAGGTATATGATCTCTTGTAATTTAGTTACTAGGAAGGGAGTATTGTTGTGGCTTGAATTTGTATAGAAATTTTAAATAATGGTTAATATCATTTTATTTGTATTTTGCTGTTTTGGAATGGCAATAAAATGATTATTCAATTTTGTTCTTAAAAACTGCCTATGCTTTCTAAGAGTTTTAATAAAGATTATTTTTCAATTAAAATGTGAATTAAAATTTTTTAAAGAAACAGAGTTATAAAGATTAATTTGGAGTTAGAACACTATACTCGGCTAATTTTATCTGAAAGATACTGTGAAAAGGCCATCAAAATAAGAATCCTAAAAATGCTTTGAACAGTCTATGAGCGAGAGTAAGATCCAAATAATAAAAGACAGTACTTTGGAGACAGCTGTGCTTAAAATATTCTAATATGAAATCTGCCCATTCAGCACCATATTTGAAGAAATTTATATATGGCCAGCCTTCGTCTGGCTTTTAAACATCCTGGAAAAATGCCTAAAGGGAACACTAAACATTAAATTTAACAACGACACAGAATTTTATTCTGCAGAACAACATTATTTCAATAAATAAATAAATAAATCTGAAAGGTTTTAGATTTTAAATTATGTCCAAAGGGGAGTTTTCTTAAAATTTTGTGTGTTTATTTATTAAATATCATGTTCTTCGCACTTAAACCATAAAATTCAATTCAACAGCAATATCGCAAAATAATTTAAATTGAGCATATTTTTAAAATTTCCAATACAGAGTCTCACATGCTGGAGATGGAAATGCTTTTTTCTGTACAACGTTGCCATTACTCGCTTTGAAATCAAATTCATTACAGTTTTACAAAATACGAAATCAATAATAAAACAAATTTCAAATTTGGGACTATATTCGTAGTAGGATTACGTCACTCAAAATTTTAGGTACCGTTGTTTTATCATAATGTGACAAACATACATACATTTATGCAGATTCTTCATTATTTAATTTCTTCAAATATAATACAGGGAGATAATATTTGGTGGCAACAGTTTGAAAAGTGAAACGGACATTCAGAGTGATTCCATGCAGAACGAAAACAATACTCTCTCAAGAACAAAGCCCCTTTGGAATAAAAAAAAATAAAATTCAATAAAAATGTATTACAATGTACTAAGCAATATTCCTTAATACAAATATTAATTATCCTAATAAATAAATTAACAAACTGCCTGTTGCCAACTCTCGCCAAACGTACAATATCTAAGGGAAACATTAAATTAAAAAACTGCACAGAATTATGGCTCTCATTTTTTTGAGTGGCAACAGTGCTGATGTCAGCAATGAGGCAGAATTATTGATTTGAGGGGATTTCACCAAAAAGCCTAAAATATATAAAAAAAAAAAAAAAAAAAAACATTCAAATTTTGAAAAAATTGCTTTGAGGTGAACTGGCTCTTATTTAGATGCACCGTATGTACCAAATTTCATAGCCCTGTATCTATTAGCTTATGCGCAGCACGAAAGAAAGACACACACTCACAGACAGACTCTTCCTTTTATTATATGTAAAGATTAGAGCAAATGGTAAGAGTTTAAGCAATATTTTCTTCTTTTACTGGGTGTTAAAAGACAAATTAACACAAATAATGTTGACAATATTAATATATTTTTCTTTTGTCATTTATGATTTCCCAACATCAGTGAAACATTTGGTTACAGGAAATAGTGAATGTGTTTATGGTATGAAATGGAGATTTTTTAACAATATTCATTAACAAATTACCAATGTAATTTAGTCTGTGCTGGTCATTATGTGTCACCTTGTTATAGGCAAAATGATCCATAGATACATATGTGCATCAAGAAACAGACGACCAGGTTAAAAGCATTTACTAATTTAAGTGAATTGCATCTGTGCGACAGATACAATTTGCATCACTGGCACAGCTACATACAGAAAATTAACATATCTATTTAAGTGATAATATGTTTGCAACTCATCCTGTTACAATAGAAGATTCAAATTTATAACCATGTATTAGTTTCAATTTAAAAAATAATTGCAGCTATTTTTAGATATGTATATAGATGTGAAACGATCTGCAATAGATATCGCGTGTTCTGCAGTTCAAGAAAAGTGGCCTGTAAACTGACTCGTGATTATCTTAGCAGAACATTAGTAACTTCAGAATTATAATCTTGACCGAATCTCTTTATTGGTTTTTCAAACATCACGTTGGCTGAGGAATGGCGACAGAACACGGCAAAACTCTAGCTTCAGAAGCGCACCTCAAAGAAACTCTGCAACGTTAGAACTCCAGTAATTCCCAGCAACCCTGAAGCTCCAAACACACACTTAAAAACCCTAATAAATTTGCATCTGCACTGCTCCTCAACTCAACTCAACGACTAGAAATATAATTTGCATAACTACAACAAACATACCCCCAGCCTTGAAGTCTCAAGTGGTTTTAAATAAACTGTAAATTATCAAAACTGAATAGACCTGAAAAGTAAAAATTGAAGTCTCTAATATCATGAATTAAATGGCAAAGGACATAGCTTTGCTATAGGTCTCTTTACTTCACCATTGGACGTGCGTAAACTCACCACTTGAACTCTGTCATCCAGACAAGGACACACTTTAAAAATTCTACCTAATTTCCAGTGTAGTGGAGGTAGATTCTCATTCTTAATGAGGATCATATCCCCAACTTTCAGATATTGTTGCAACTTGTACCACTTAGGTCTCTGCTGTAACCTAGATACTCACTATTCCATCTCTTCCAGAAGTGTTCAAATAGCCTTTGTAAGATCTTCCAACAATCACTACAACTCAGGGGTTTCTGATGCTATATATAAATCTAATATATATCTTAAGTCGTGCTTTCGAGACATGAAAAAGCAATTTGGATTTGTCAATCGGCCCAGTAAAATGGGACATCTTTTTTTTTTTTTTTTTCCCCACAGTTTACAATAATTTTATCAAAGAATGTTATATCCATCTGACAAATCAGTCAGCAGCTAGGTCAGAGTGACTGGTTTTATGCTCAGCGCAAAAGCCTGCATGGTAAGCACGACTTCTAATGTCTAATGATATCTATTTTCGTCATGCATCACTTTTCAGTTTTTGAAACTGAATATCGCTATTTTGAAACCCAAATTAGTTTTCTGAAATGGAATTATGTTTTCTATCTTCACGGATTTTCCTTGTCCAGAACTGCTAATATGATCATGAAATCTCTTCTGTGCAATAATTTATCTTCAACTAATCAAGTATAAAAGCTGAATTTTACATTTTTAAAATGAAAGAAAATGCTTAATACAGAAAATTACAAATGAAGATTTTTGAAGAATGATAGAAAGAGACTATTTTTATAATTAGTCATGCTATGTAACAGAAACACCAGAATCTCCATTTTATATTATTTGTAATCACAAACAGCAGTCATAGAAAGATGCAAAAAGTATTAATGTCGAGATGTTTGTTTCTGATGGATGGTAATTCCACATAAGGAAATAATATATATAAGTTATCACAATGTAATTGCACATGCTGACTTAGTTCATTTATAGTATACAGCACCTTACAACACTAACTGTTCTGCTGTTAAATGTTTCAAACATAGTTCATTTATCATTTATAAACTGGAATTTCCTACATTTTATTTTTCTAAATGATGTAAGATTATATTATGTATATGAAATGCAATATTAATGGCTTGCAAGTTATAAGTAAAGAAACAAGATTTCCTTTGGTAAATATATTTACAAGAGCATATATACATTATGAGTTACATATTGATGACAATGTATGTACAAGGATTACACTGGTTCAAACAGGTACAGAGGATTCCATGTTGGGTAAACAAATATTATTAAAAGAGTAAAAATTTATGTCACCATTATCCACAACTGCTATTTGTAGAGAGGCATTATCATTCCATTTTCTTTGCAGTAAAACGAGTTCTGAGTATTTTGGAATTGAGTCCGTTGCTCTGAAAGTAGGAGCAGGGAAAAAAAAAAAAAAGATACACAACAAATTATTAATGAAAAATCAACAAATCAAACACTATATTCAAACGATTTGAGCCAATCTTCAAATCTTTTAAAAAGGGTCAATTAAAAAAAAAAAAAAAAAATCATTGCTTAATATTTCCCTTAACAGCTTATTTCAAAGTATTTTTTATTTGTTCTTAATTCTAAAATCATAATTCATATGTATATCAACATTAGTCAAAATCTGTCTTTCATAATCTTACACATTTTCTCTACCTGCATTCCTTTATTCCCAAAGACCACACCAATTATGAAGAAACATTCAAAGGCTGCTAACAATCATTCAGTTATCAAGAATTTTAATGCTGATACATGTGAATTTGAATGCTGATACATCTACCTGCCAGTAACATAATGCACATTTGCAGTGTTTTAATTATTTAATGATATTTCCAACACGGTATTCTCACAGTATAAATCAGTATTATCAAGTAGGGTTATCTTGACATATCGGAAAAATACAAAAATATATTGTTTTTGATGGTAAAATCCTAATTAACTATGTTTAATGTAATTATAAACTGAATTCTTGATTTTATAGACAGAAGTTCAAAACAAAATGAGTTGCATGCTTCTATATGCTCATTTCCTATTATATACACTCTGTAACAAAAAAAAAAAAAAAATTGACGTACCACGAAGGAATTATCCAATTCCTTTGAAAGCAGGATTCGAGCTCATTATGAGCAACTGTTTGAAAGAGGTAATTGGATTGAAAGAGGCAGGTTGGGCAAATCGGAGAATCGCTCATCATATGAGTCGAAATGATGTAGCGATTAGAAGATGCTGGCAAGAACAGGTGGACAATGACAAATTTCAGCGTCATGATGGAAGCAGTAGACCTACGGCCACAACAGATCAGGAGGAGAGAGTGATTGTGAGATCAGCTGTCACAGAGCCTGAATTATTGCTATCAACTATCAGACGTGCGACCCGCACACAAGTGTTCATCATGACCATTCACAGATGGCTAATAGAGCGAAATCTATGCTCGTACTGACCATCGAAACTTTAAATGAGGAAAAGGGGAAAAAAAAGATTTTAAAAAAGCAAAGCGGTCCCCCCCCCAGGTTGGGTTGAAAGCATAGAATTAAAGACTGCAAACAAAAAGTAAACTGTAGCTTCTGTAATAAATACTCGAAAGCCATTTCATCAGAAAAAAGATAGTGATAAGCTTGAAAAGAAAACATTGGATTCCAATGTTATTTTTGTTATTTTGTCATATAATTCTGATGAAAGTAGATGTAATAAAATATTATTAAAAATTGCTTCTGCATTTACTCAGAATAATGATAAATGTGAAAATGTCAAAATTCTTGTTGATAATGGCTCAATGAAATCTTTTATAACTAAAGATGTATCTAGTAAAATGATTCTTCCGATTGTTAGAAAAGAATCACCTTCTGTTTACTCATTTGGAGATAAAACTGCATTAGAAAAAAAACCTTTAATGTTATTAAAGCAAAACTAGAAAATGTTAGCAATCCCAATCTTTGTATAGGTTTTGTACTTCTAGAAACTGAAAATATCTCCAATACCAATTATCTCCCCTCCAGATTTGAACTTTGCTAAGGAAAATAAAGTTTTACATAAGTTGCAATTAGCTGACTGTTGTAGACAAAGTGACAAGATTGATATTCTCATAGGGGTAGATTTCTGCTATTCTAAAATTACAGGTAAAATTTAAAGAATTTCAAGAAGTGTAGTAGCCACAGAATCTTTATTTGGGTGGTGTTTTCAGGGTAAAGTAAATAATGAATCTAGTGTTTTAACTATGAAAGTAATAATAAATGAAAACTTGATATTAGATCAATTACAAGAGTTTTGGAAGGTAGAAAAGATTTAGAAAGTGACATTCAAAACAACAAAACTGTTGATTTAGAAATTATGAAATTTTTCGAATCCGATATCAAGTAAAAGAATGGCAGATACCAAGTAAGATTATCGTGGAAACCAAACTCAAAACATTTAATGGAAGATAATAGTAATATAGTACTTGAAATATTTAAGAAATTAAGTAACAAATTTAAAATTGATAACCGTTTGTTTGTTCAATATACATAAGTTTTAAAGGATTACGAGTTAAAACATATTATTGAACCAGTCCAGGAAGAAAATCGAAATGATAAGACACTATTTTATTGACCTCATACGGCAGTCATCAGAAATGACAGAGCAACAAGCATATAGACTTAGAACTAATGATAAACTAGTCTAATGATAGACTACGAACAGTTTATGATGCTTCAGCCCACAAAACAAATATGCTTTCTTTAAACGACTGTTTATATACTGGTCCAAACTCATATCCTGATATTTTTGATTTACTGATAAAATTTAGACAAAATTCGATAGTCTTTACAGCTGACATTACACAGGGATGTTACATGTTTTTTTTTTGGAAAGATGATATCCTGATGATAGCAATGATAATTTGAAAACCTTTAGATTTACAGGAATTTTGTTCGAAGTAAAATCTAGTCCCTTTCTGCTGCTACCATTAAGCATCACCTTAAGAAATATTCGGAAATATATCATGAAACAGGAGAACTCTTAAACAACTGCCGGTACGTTGATGATATTATTGGTGGTAAACAAAATTTAGAACAAGCCTTGAAAATAAGTTTAGAAACATTTTCAACGAAGCTCGGATGTCACTACATAAGTGGTATTCTAATTCAAAAGAAGAGTGACATTTGGCATCACAAAGAATTTTCGATACAAGAATCTCCTGAAGTTGTCCTGATCAAAGTGTTAGGAATTAACTGGGATATGAATAATGATATTTTTATTTTGATACTCAAAACTTAACAAACTTTATATCCTCATCAATTAACTCAAAACCTTTTCTATTACAAACCACGGGCTGTATTTTTAATCCTGTCAGATTTTATAGCCCTTTCACCATAATAATAAAGTATCTAATTCAGGAAATCTAGTCTGCCAAAATTGACTGGGACAATGAACTGTCACCTTAGTTATAAATGGAAAGCCCGGGGGGGGGGGGAAATTAAAGAACTGAACCACCTCAGGATTTCCCGTTATTATTTAGAGGGAATATTAAATGTAAATGTGAAACAAATAGAACTCCGTAGCTTTTCTGATGCTAGTCTGAAAGCTTATGGATGTGTGGTATACCTGAGAATAGGTTAGAAAAATGGAAATTTTCAAGCAATTTTTGTTGCTTCGAAGAGTAGAGTTGCAACTCTGAAATCACTTACACTTCTTAGATTGGAATTCATGGTCACACTTTGGTCTGCCAGATTGAGCAATAAAATCACAAAATGTTCAAATTACAAGTAATTCCCTTCCATTCTCAAATAACTAATTTTTGGAATTGAGGATCTCCCAAAAGATTTAAACTTTTCATCAAGAACAGAAATTATGAAATTCAGAAACTAACTGAAAGCATTAATTGCCATTATTGCCGTGGGAAAGACAACCTGGCCGACCTCATATCACGAGGAACTATTATTGCTAACGTAAGAAATTGCCAACTTTGGTGGCATGGACCACCCTGGCTTTTACAGTCTTCAGAATGTTGGAGGGTGTGACCTTCAAGATGTAACAAACACCTGTTACCAGTGAACATTCGTTCAGGGTAAATCATGTTTTTAGTGGACACCCGTCGAGTGACTTGGTGCAAGCTTAGAATGCAAGAACAACTGAACAGCGATACACCATCAAATTTTGTGTTGTACTGAGGAAATCAAATACAGAGTTGTTGGCCATGATTCACCAAGTGTTCAAGGATGAAAGCATGTCAAAAACTGCAATTTTTAATTGGCACAATTCGCAGATGGCCGAGAGCATGTAGAGGACGAGCCCCACACTGGACGCCCTTCGACATCAAAAACCGACCATAATCTGAAACGTGTGTATGAAGTACTGAATTAAGATAAGGAGTTAAGTGTTTGCATGGTCGCAGATGAAATTGGCATCGATAAGATGATAGTGCACAGCATTATCACTGAAAATCTGATGATATGAAAGATCTGCACTCGAATCATTCCAATAATGCATTTGAATTGTGCACAATCGTTGAACTTGGATCATGATTTTACTATATTAGCATATTACTGTAATAATGATTCAGTATGATAGTATGTACTGTGTATGGCATGATGTGAACTGGTATTTGTACTTACTGGTAACATGTTTAGTATTGTTACTATTGTGTTTATAATTACAAAACTATAGTCCATATATTCAAAACTTACTTCAAACTTTAGCAAATAAATGAAAAGATGTATTTTTATATAATAGAAAACAATCTAATTAATGTATCTGTAAAATGTGAGTATGCTATAAAAAATGGTTGGCAGTGGCCAAAGGTTTTTTTCCCTCTTCCTTCCTACTGAGAAAGCACTTGATTACCTTAGGCTAGAAGCCCTCTCAATGGTGTATGGATGTTGTCTCTCAAATCTCGTGTGGAACTGCACAGTTATTGGAGCAGCACTATATCTGTATGACCAATAGTAAAATTCTGGTGTCTTGCCCACTTATATATATAATTTTTGTTTGTATTCTGGGGGGGAGGCATTAAAATTTGGTACCTGCTTTCTACAGAACAGCAAATAACGGATTATTTTCAAAGGACATGATATGCTCAACTGAATATGGCTGGTAAATTGATAATAACTGGAACTATTACCTGAAGGAAGTATGTACTCATATCACTCTAAACAAAGCTTTTAGTAAAACTGGTGAGTCTAACTAAACAGTAGAAATTCATGGAAGCCTTTAATGAAGGGCAAAAATAATGCAGATCAAATACTGATAGAATTACGTTGTTATTAAATGAAAAGAAATAAATTCCTTCAGAACTCTGCATGAATGACAAAGACAGCTTTCATGGTTCAATAGTAGACAACTTTGAATTTGTTGAAAACCAGCTGAAGGAGCAATGTGTAAGTATCAATTTTTTCCCAATATACACGCACACACAGAATAAGTTTTAACAATTAGCTCTGATAACTTTTTCATATTTTATATACAGACAACTTATTAACATTTATATAGACTGTTTTTAATATTTTATATACAGAAAACAAAAACACACTCACTTGACAACAATAATTCTGTACTTCGGAATTTCTGGACATGTCTTTCTGTAGTTAGTGCCAGGTAAATACACATCAAAAGAAATTTCTAAAGAAGGAGTAGCTGGAAAATATCTGAAACAAAATGCAATAATTAAATATTAAATTTTGCATCAAAAAGAAAATACAACTTTATAAATATAAAAAAAAATAACAACATCATAACATCTTACAGAACAGAAATAATTATTATTGATTTACATTATGCAAACATAAAGTTATATTCTTACGAAACAGCAGTATGAAACTCAAGATTACAGTGAAGCAAAATAATTTGATTCAGTATTTAATTCACAGAATATGGGATTTAAAAAAATATATATATAACACAAAATTTATTACTGAAAAAGTATTACTTTTCATTTTTGTTTCCTTTATCAAGCATCTTGGCCATTTGGGTCACTCCCAGCATTTTCATGACTTCAGCTTTAAAAAAGAAATAATAATAATAATAATAATAATAATGTTGAGATATTTGTAATCGCATTCTTACTGGTTAAAAGGAAGTAAGCTTCTTTCTCTCAAGTCCGAAACAACTTCATTAGCTTTCAGCCAGGTCCGAGTTATTCTGAAACTTAAATTTCATCTGTGTTTACCTTTTGATTGGTTAGTTATTGTGTCTTGTTTATGATTTGTTAAACCATGATCTGTTGTAAAGTTATATATATAACCTTTGTAACCACTTATCGCTGCTTAGTATTATTCTGTTAGTCTGCTTGCCTTAGTATTATTCTGCCTGTACTTATTTATCTGTGCCATTGCTTGTACTTAGTATTATTCTGCCTGTACTTATTTATCTGTGCTATTGCTTGTACTTAGTATTATTCTGCTTGCATGTAACTCTGCGTATTACTCTGCATATCTCAGTAATAAATATTTGTTTTGCGAACCACAGCATTTTCTATGTTTAACAAATAATAATAATAATAATAATCAGGAAAATAAAAATGATTAAAAAAAATTCTAGTTCCTGGTTTAAAGAATATTCTTTTTAAGCAATCAATTCTTAAACGGCATTTCATTTAATGTTTAGAGATGGCATCAGCAAATATAAAATCTTAGGCTGGCAAAAATTCTTTCCTCTAGAACATAAAATATCATGTTGTTTAAACTATGTGTCAACATAGTTTTGTTTCTCTTAACATAAATTCAACACTCACTGCTATGTATGAGACGGAATTGTTTAATTAAGTCATAGCACCCTAGGACTGTCTCCTATGATCAGGGATGTTTTCATGGAGGACTATCTACGGAAACTGGGCCATATTTGTTTTACACATGAATAAAACCATAATAAATTTCATGCACTCAGCCAGCTCAACCATCAGGATAAGGCACAGACCTGAATACTAGCATTTATATAGATTTAGCGAACTGACTATTAGTTGCCTCAATTATTCAATATTCTTCAAGAATAAGTCTATAATGAAACACAGAAAATCTTTTATAAACCTGGTGTTGAGAATGATAGCCCAGCATCAGGATTTTAAAAAAGGCATTTTAGATAATCTTAACTTTAAACCTTTTATAGAGTGCTAATCAAAAAGCAACAATTTATATTTATAACTATAGAAATATGCTACAAATAATATTAGAAACCTTTACATGCATTTAATAGGTCTGAAGTTTTCATTAATTTGGTTGTAGTGCACAAGTGGGTAAGCAAAAAAGAATGAACTGGATAACAAATACAAATACAGTCAACTGACACTCATAAACATAGCTCATAGATAAGATTTAAATGTAGTTTAATAACAATAATCAAAATCTAAAATTTTCACTTCTAAAAATAAAAGTATGTCATCAAATTTGCCAACTTGATCAAAAAATTAACAGATAACTTAAACTGTTGTAAAAATTCATATACCCTCTACATGCAAACTCTAAAGCAACAACAAGAGCACAGTACTGAAAATTAGTTTGTCGGGATTGTTAAGGGGGCAGGGAACCTGATTTCCTTCACTCTGGATACAAGTCAATACTTTACTGCAAACTGTCCACGTACTTACTTACACAGGCAGTTTGCAATAAGGTATGTAAGGCTAAAGGTACGCGCATATAAGTATATGCATATATATCATAAGATAAAAAATATATTAACCAAAATAGTAACTTTATTTTGCAATAATTTCTCAATTCTCATTTTTTTAATCTGGTTATTTCTTCTTTTAATCCTAAAAATTGTGAATGTTAATAATAAATCTCTCTAAACTGCATCATTTCAAAATTAATCTTCCTCACATGATACTTATATAATGCCAATGATGCAGACACATACATAATACTCCAACCAATAATAATTTCAAATTTAAACTTAATGAATAGAAATGAAGCTAAACTGGCCCTAAATTAATCTGAATTGGGTTTTTATCTAGAGCACATCAAATTCTCTCTCTCACTACCCATATGACAACATAATGCCTCTTGCTCTTATTCTTTCATCAAAATTAATTGTTACGTAGACATAGAAAAGACTCAAATGTTATCAAGAATGAGTAGGCAGATTGTATTTATTACTGAGTAATTTATATTAAGAATGTGTTCTTTAGAAATAATAATTTGGGGGGTGAAGGTGGGGAAAACCCTTACTTTTTTTTTTTTTTTTTTTTTCAGAAACATTCTTTTTAGCCAGTTAAGGAGAATTAAAAATAACTGGATTTTATATTAGAGACAAAATATACACAGAACAGCCGTTACATTATGACCACCCTCCATCTATAACAGTATTCGCCAAACTTATGAAATGTCTGAGTACAATTTTTAAATCCTACTGTGAACTACCAACCAAAAGAACCAATTTGAAAAAAAAATCTTACATTTGTTTGCTGCCTATAAACTTACATTTCTAGTAAATATAAAATCAATTTTAATTAAACTGGACATCTTAAAAAGAAACTGAAACTTAATTGTACATAAGAAAGAAATTGAAGTCTAGTTACTAATAAATAGCAAACGTAATGACAGATTTTTTACTGGACTTATTAAATTTACTGAGAAGGGTGGAACTCTTTTTTTATTTTTTTGTCATCAATAAGCTTTTAGTGTTGGGAGAGTAGGTAGTGGCTGCCATTCGAATACAGTTGTCCAAAGTGTTCATCAGTGAGTTTGTTTCTGTACTTATTTTTAATACATTTCATACTCAAAAAAGAAATCTCGCACGGATAATGTAGACAAAAATATTGCCTCCACTCTGAGACAAACCTGGATTAAAATTGGGTATTTTTCTTTAGGAAGAAGAGGCCATATATATATTCAAAGCTTTAAGAAAGCGAGTTTACAGATACATCATCTTGAAAATCAATCAGTTCCAAATCCACTGCAGAATTATCTTCTTAAAACTCAATATGCTCCATAACACAAGCAGAGAAGTCTTCAGCATTAATCTTTATAAAAGGCAATTTGACAAACAATTGAAATCTTGGAAGTGTTTCCTGAATTCATTACTTTCTTACGAATACTTGCACAGCATAGTTAACATACACATTTGTTCTATACCTGGGTAAAGAAGTAACCGATTTCCCATTCCGAATGAAAGCGATAAGATTTTACATTTTGCTTGAAAACGCCACTGTTACCACAAACCAACAAAGCTTGGTACCAATGAGTAAATCAAACTAAGTCTGTAAATGTCTAATATACACACAAAAAACATAACGTGCACAACCTCACGTGTATGCAATCAACTATGAGATGAAGCTAACAATTGCAGATATGCTGGAGAAACAAGCAGTTGTTGTATGTGTCAGGTCACTGAAGAAATCAAAGTTAGCCAACTGAAGCATTTACGCGATCTACCAAAAATCTCCCCACCAGCTACTAGCAGCTCGCAATCGATGGTTTGGCAATCACCGATCTATAGCAATGCGCTCACCCAAGAACAAAACCACTGCACGTGCGCGGCTGATGTTGGAGTATACAAAGCAGCTATGCATTGTCTTTCCAAAGATAGCATGATTAGAGACATAATAAGAGAAGCAGAAGATTTATCAAATTCGATAACAGTCAAATTGTTATGGTTCGGCGGCTGGAACATCAATATTAGAAGCAAATTTGATTTAGTGGGCTGCTCACATGTAGTTGTTCTGAGCACATGCACATGTAATTATCTTAAAAAAATGGAAAACAAAGGTTAAAACTGGTGCCTGTTTATAATTTGGTGGAATGGAATGTTTGTATTAGAAACTTCACATTTTCTTTAAGTCGTAAAATCGATGAAAAGCGACAAAATGACTGTATCTTCTGATGCGTCAAATATGTTTATTAGTTATAAATGTGAGTAAGATGAATAGATTTCATACAGACAATCATTTAAAATCAATGAAAATTAGAAAAAACTAGTTTCTGATGTGCGTAATATGAAAAATACGTTTATTAATTATAAAAGCAGAAAGTTTATTAATTATATACAAGGAAGAAGACAAAATTTATTAAATATGTATGGATGGTGAAACGACAAGTAGCCGGCCCAGCAGTGTGTCTTCAATGACACACTGATTCCAGAGGAGAACGGAGGTTGCTACACACTGTTCAGCGTGACTGAAGAGCTACAACAGTCCGAAATTACCACCAGCTACAACAGTAGCGACCCAGAAGTGTTTTTCAAAACACTGTGCAATGCACATTGCTGCATATGAGCCTATGCAGTTGGAAGCTGAAGCATGCCGCTGCACTGACGGCACATCATCGCCAGCTGCGTCTGCAATGGGCCAAGAAACATCAGAATTGGACATTAGAAGAATGGAAGAAAGTTGCATGGTCCAACGAATCACACTTCCTAATCCATAACATCGATGGGCATGTACTAATACTCTAATTTCGAAATGAAACCCTGGTTCCCAGATGGACAGAGACAAGCCGGTGGCGGGGTATTATGGTGTGGCCAATGTTTTCATGGAACACATTACGACCCATAATCCTCATACAAGAATTGCTGACATATGTGCGCTATGTGAACATCATTGCAGACCAGGGTTCACCTATTAATGACAACAGTATTTCAGGCAGGGGATAATGTACTATGTCATAAAGGTCAAATCATCAGGGAGTGGTTCGAGGAACATTCCAGTGACTTTCAAGTCAGGTCTTGGCCTCCAAACTCATCTGACATTAATCTAATAAAGCATTTGTGGTCCCACCTGGAAAATCAAATTCGTATTGCCATGCCGTTTAGCCATCCCTCGCAATGTGTGGGAATTGCAGGACCAGTAGGTGAACACTTGGTACCGGATACCTCAGCTCCTCGTGGAGTCAACGTCACACCGAGTGCAGGCAGCTTCGAGAGCTACAGGTGGTCTTACACATTATTAACAGGGTGGTCATACTTTAATGGCTCTTCGGTGTATAAATGAATGCTAATCAAATTTCTAGAAATGCTTAATTTCAAATATCACTGCCGCCTTCTTCCCTAATCAGAAAGTTTAATAAATTCTATTCCAAAAATAACAGAGAATTTTTTCTCCCTAATTCCTAAATTCTTTTTTTATTACTTCTGCTGTAAAATGACAAAAATATTCATTAACCATATGTATTATTTTATTTGGGGGCAACACATTTCAAATCAAGATAAATGTTAAATAGTTAGAAGATTAATCAAACTACATCTTTTCAGCAATATGTGGAAATATACTCAGTTGCAACATATTCAAATTTCAATTCTAAAGCAATTTTCTTATCATCACCCAAAAATAAAACAACAGAATAGAAATAAAAATAATACAAAATATAAGACATTTTTCTAGCATAATTATGCATAACAATAATGAAATAACTTACATGCAGTGTATTTTGAACCTGCTCTAACAAGAGGACAAATGTTTCTACACCAGAGTACTTCGTTTTCATAAATGGGTACTTCTTCAATATCATTACTATTGCCTTCATCAGTTCCTCCATTCTGCCCATCTACTGCTGCCTTTATGTCATTCCATGAACTTTTATTGCTAAAGCTACGATAAAGACATGGAAATGGCCTGCCTCTATGAGAATAGTTTCGTGGACCATTATCCCTGAAAAAACGTCTATTATTTTGTATGGAAGAAGGCCAATTCTGCACTTCATTCCCACGATGTATGAGTCCTTCCTGAACAAATGATGATGATAATCGATTCAGAGCATTTGGAGGATTCTGGTCATAATAAAAATTCCGCCTCTCTTGACGATAAGTACCATATTCGGGCAAGCTGCTTTGATTATGACTTTCACTCAACATGGAAGATACCAAATTTGTTGCAGCATTATACACAGTTCTTTGCAATTCAGACATAAAATCAGCAGTGTCCAGCGATGACAGATTTTGCAAACGGGGAGGAAAGTTATTTACAAGAGCATTATTGTTAGCCAGCATAGACTGAAAAAACTGGCTGTGCTGCATTCTTAAATTTATATCATGAGGTCTAGGAGATATTAATGAATTGCCAGAATTATTGGTAGGATATGGAGAATGATCATGGTGGTTATTTCTACCTGATCCAAATGAATTAAACTCTGGATTCCTCTGACGTCCGTAACTGAAATCTCGAGAAGTTCTAAATCGATCTGGAGAATTAGACTGACCTATATGATTAAGCTCCCATTTGTGTTCCCTGGGAGGACTACGATTTTGCCAATTTCCAAATCGCCTATTTTCATGTATTTGTGCCGAATTTCTATTTTGGCGTCTAGAACGCTGATATTCTTGTAGATCTCTATAGCTGTTCCAGAGTCTACCTCCTGACTGTTGAGTACATTCTTTTCTCAGATTTAAAACATAAGCTTCTTTAGCAGGAAGAACACGAAAAGGAAGGCAATGTGGAGGTGGGCGTGGAACACAAACTACATCTTTTTTATAATAATCTGGATATTGAAGTGTTATTCGGCATGGTGAAAGCTTACTGCTTTGGCTTTCAGGTAGAGGTTTCCTTTCTTGTTTGAATGCATAAAATTTCCTCTCTCTATTTGAAGATGTTGGAATAGAGGCAGATGAACCAGAACATACCTTGACGATTTGGATATCATCATCACTTTCCTCATTTTCATCAGCAGCAGTTGTTTCATCTTCATCATCATCTGATAATAAGTCTATTACTGCTAGTGGTTTTGTCTCTTTTTTCTTAACCTCAATCAGTGTCACATCATCGTCCCCTTTTTCACTTATAGGAATATGCTCCCTAGTTTCAGGATCTCTAGAATCTAGATCACTTTCAACACTTTCAAGAGAACTAGAAGCCTCAGAGCTATCATCTGTGTAATCATCTCCTCCCTGAATTTCAATGCTAGTGCTGCTTTCTGTACCATTTTGAAAATCTTGTAACATGGCAGAATTGTCTATAGAAATATCAGCCGGAGCAAGGTGATTATCAACTGATTTTTCTACAGCTTCACATGAAATTTCTGTATTTTGGGAAGATAATTCAGCAGTATCAATATTCAATTTTGAATTAGCAGAGTTTGTTACATCAATATTCACCGAACATGATCGTTCTTCAAAATTTAAAGGACTTGGGCATTCCTTTGCAGAATCATTTGAAATGGACTCACCAATATCATGCACTACAGAAGTTTCAGATGTAGTTGAAACATTTAAATTGATCTTGGTACTAGGTTCTGTAGCGTCATCTGCTACAGCAGAAATTCCTTGATTTGATTCAACATTGTTTATACTGACTCTGTTCTCAGAGATTGGAGAAGAAACTGCTTCATCATTTGCTTTCACAAACTGGCAATCACTTGATACAGTGCTGTCTTCAAGTTGTTCTGGAACATGTGATATTTTATTTGTTTCTGCATTATCAACTAGGGCACCAGTAAAAGTTAATCTTTTCTCTTCTGGTTCCTCAGGTAACTTAGCACTTGACTTACGTTTCTTTAGTTTTAGTTTGTCTAAATTCATTCTTTTTTCATATATTGTAACACCTAACCTATAAAAAAAACCTACTTTAGAAAAATATAAACGTAGCTAAGCACAGTGAAAACAGTGATTAATACATCAGTTATAAGCAGTTTACTTAAATAATTTTAAATGATTAAATAACATACAAATGATCCCACACTATGAGCAGGAAATGAGCACAGCACTTAATTTAAAACTTTTCTATATTCTGAGGTCACACACATTTTAAAAACCTCCTAAGAAGATTTTTTGCTTCTATGGGCACAAATGCTATATAAACATAAAAACTGATCTTTGATCAAGACGCTGCATAAGCACATAGAATTAAATGTACTCAGAGAATGATATACAGCATTTTTCAAGACTTTCTCATGGTAAAAACAACAGTCATCTTAACATTATTGTAATTATTAAAAGATGTCTCCAATGTAAGGTCACCAGACGTCCCGATTTAGGCGGGACAGTTTTCAGACTTCATGTCCCGTGGTCCCTCGCTTGTCCCGGTGGGATGCCTGTTTGTCCTGCTTTTCTGCAAAAGTGACTCTTAATGTCAATTAACTTGACTAATAGTAGGTGACTCAGATGACTTCTCATCACATGACAGAGCACACCTACCTGCAGGCTTCGTGGACCAATCAAATGAAATGCAACAGAACTGCTGCTTCTTGCATGACAATGGTCACGATCTCTTGTCTACCTTCGCCTCTACGCCCAGCCAGGGCTCATTAGTTCAGAGCTTCCATCGCCGTGTTTCGCATCGATATTACATCAGAGAGCCGGAACACATAGTGTTTTCTCGCGAGATAATCGCACCATACAAGTGGAACAAGGAAAATTAACTTGAATTGGGCACCACGGTGCATTGGTGACACCTCGCTGATGCTTGCTTCCCATAAAGCTATGATGCCATCACTCAAAGCAGGCAGCGACTGCATTGGTAGCTAAGGCCACGTTTATCAGTCCATATAATGAATATAGTTTTAAATTTCTTTAAACTTTAAAGGAAAAGGAAATATTTTTTCGCGCAAGAATTAATTATGAATAGTTATTTTGAGCACACACACACACACACACAAAAAAAAAAAAAAAAAAGTGCGAAAATTCGAGTTTAAATTATTACGAAAAGTCAAAGAAACATTTTGTAAAAGAATGTTTCTTCTTAACACCATGTTCCTCAATTAGCTGTACACATCGCGGATGGGAAAATTCTCGCCACCAGGTTCCATCCCCAAATTCCTTGGCAAATTTTCCTTCCGCTCCAGTGTCATAATAGCAAACTGATTTACATCATGTTCTATAGAACCTTTTCTTTTTTACATAGATGTTCTTTGACTAAGGTGGTTTGTGTGCACGATTGTTGTGTTTCAGTGGTTATTTATTTTTTTCCTCATGTGAGTGACATTACCCGAATCTCCATGAAGCATCAGTCATGCCAAAACGAAAGTCGAAATTCAATGTGAGGAATTACAAGGCGAGTTTCCATTCATAAAGAGGGTTAGAAGCAACACCGATAGTAACGTGAGGTGCGACAAATGTGGATCATATTTCTCCGTCGTTCATAGTGGGCATGGAGATATAATGAAGCATTTGAATATGGATCACCACAAAAACGCCTTGAAATTGTCGGCATTGTCAGGTACAATTACGAACTAATTTTCAAGAAGAGTTAGGTGAAAAGGAAGTTCGTTTGACTGCTACAGAAGATAACTTTGCGTATCACACGATTTATCACAACCACAGCTTTAGGTCGATGGACTGTACTTCCAAATTAATACAATAGTGTTTTAATACAAAATTCACTTGTGCACGAACAAATTGTGAAGCTATCGTCGTGAGTGTACTTTGTCCATATGTAACGAACCAAGTCAAGGGAAAATTAAATGTCGCGAATTTGTGACAGTGTCTACATTCGCGTCGAACCATAAGGATGTCAAGCTATTTCCTGTGAAAGTGAGATATTCTGTGCCACTGTCAGGTGTGAAAGTTAAAATCCTGGACATGCAATCTCTTTCTGGAGAACAGCATAGACATATTGCAATTTGCTTGTAAATGCATTACAACGGCATGGTCTAACAATAAAGGTTGTTGGCTTCTGCACAGACAACGCTAACACGAATTTCGGGGAATAAAAAGAAGAGGTAGAAATAACGTTTTTGCAATATTACAAGATGCCCTTGAGACGAAACTGCTAGCGGCTGGTTGTGCTGCTCATATCGTCCACAACACAATCCAAACAGCAGGAGATTGCTTGCAAATTGATATGGAAGCAGTTCTTATAAAAATTTATTATTATTGCTATTTCTATACTGTTCGTTTGAGTCATTCAAAGAATTTTGCGACTTTGCCTGTGTAGAGTACCAGCATATTTTAGGATATGGGAAAACTAGATGGTTATCACTGATGCCTGCAGTAGAGAGAGTTTTAAAATTGTTTCCTGCACTAAAATCGTGTTTTTTTTTTTTTTTTTTTGTCAGAAGGGAAGTGCCTCACCCTAATCCGCATCTAATCTTTTTTGAGAATCGCTCATCAAATTTTTCGCTCACCCTAATCTTTTTTGAGAATCCCTGTGCTGAACTGTGGCTCTATTTTATACATAATATCGCTGCAGTGTTTCAAGAGGCAATTCTTCACATAGAAGCACATACTGTAACAGCATTGGAAGTATCTTCTGAACTGGATGATTTAATACATATGTGCACTGAGAGAAGCGCAAAAAACATTTTGCCAAATGAAGTACGTATGCTGATTACCCAATTAGAAGTGGAAGGATTGGCGAGAAAAAATGACATTATAAGAACCATTGTAAATTTTTACGACAACTGTGCTGGATATCTGAAAGATAGGGTTGATCAATTTGAAGATCTAAATGCATTCAGTTACATTGCATTAAAGGAGCCACCATCATGGGAAAAAGTACAAAGAACGTGCAACTTTTTGGGTGGAAGATTCTGAAAGTTGACATCGATGATTTACTTCACTACAAAAGATTGCAGATTGGAATTGTCAGAAAACTAGTCTCGACTGCCGAAGGGCTGAAAATGTTCGTCATTTCAAAGATAAAAACATACTATATACACAAATGCAGAAAACTGTAGAGTTTTTGTTGTGTCTTCCAGGGACAAACGCCGCCAGCGAAAGAGTTTTCTCGTCTATTAATATCATATGGACAACTGAAAAAATGCAGTTAAAACTGGAAAAACTACAAGCAATGTTAAGGGTGAAGTTCAATTTCGAGTTTGACAGTTCCTGTGATGAAGTTTATGAAAGACTTCTACAAGAGCCTAAACTTCTTAGAAGCATTCATTCGTTAATGAAATATGTCTATGGAGCACCTACACAGGATGATCCTTCTAGGTCAGTGGCTGATCATGAAGGCCCATCATCCGCATCGAATTAATACATTGGCGGCGTCATGTGCTGGATGGACACATTTAAGCAGTAAGGTAAAGGTAGGTAGGAAGTTACAAACTTTTATTTTCCGACTGCTTTTTTTTTAAAATAATTTGTTTGCTTTTACTCTTACTACTAAAAGTGCATCTGATTTGTCTCAGTCCAGATCCCAAAGTCCTCGATTGTTGATTTAATAATTGATTGTCTGAGATATGGATAAATTCTACTTTTTCTTTCAATAGTAGAGTCTGTTTAACACACACCCTAATTCGCAAATGATGGGTAATTCTTTACAGGACAATGTGACTTCACTAAAAATTTTGCTCTCCATATTTTTTCCTACAGAGAGGGCTTCTGCCCTCTCCCACACCATCCAAATTTGGATCCCTGCGTCCCGCTTTGCCCTCCAGAAAATCTCGTTACCTTACTCCAATACCATATATTATGGTTCTGGTACAGAACCATTTTTTTTAAACTTTTCTTTGGTTTGTTTCAAATTTTTATTATAACATTTTAATAATAAAAATAAAAGCTATAATATATGCTTAAGATATTTCATATCCCTCTGTGCTTATGTGTATATATATACATGAATTTTAAAAAACATTCTTTATTTGTAAAAAGCAAATTTTAAGTTAATTAAATTTTAAATGAAATTGAATTACAAATAAATGATTAATTATTGCTGTGAACTAATCTACAATATCATTTAAATTCTGAGAGCATATGTAAATCAAGTACAATTATCAAAATTTATGAATATATAATAAATGCATAATATATAATTCCAATAAATTTTTTAAACCTAAAAATTTATAAAAATGCATAAGTTGAGCAGGCAGGAGACAGACTTATCAAGAGGAAGTTGCCTCCAAACCTAACTCTTCAATTATTCAATTCGTGTTTTGTCATCCATGTAGGCAAGGGTAAAAGGAAAATTCAAAACCAAAAGTAAAACCTAATGTTGTGAATTACTAAAAAGAAATTTAAATAAGTGGAATTTAGAGAAATTAGCAAGTAAAGATATTAAAGTCAATTAAAAGTATAAAACCAAATTTTTTAGAAATCGTAAATAGTATAGAAGTAATTTAGTATAGTATAGAAGTAATTTAGTATATCGAAAAATAGTATAGAAGTAATTTAGATACTCTTACCTACAAAAAAGTTCCCCGGCACAAATTATGCAAATAAATCAAAAGAAACTAGATACTATTTATAAAAAATACATACATAATACTAAAAAGGCAAATAAAAAGTCTTAATTTAACTTACCAACTATATTTGTATTTAGAGAGTTCAGCAGCATGTCAAACTAAGTAATGTGTTTCTTCTAATTTTTTAAATAGAGGGTGCTAATATAAGGCAAAGTTGAGTGCTAAGCTGCTATTTGTCTATTATTTTAAAAACCTATTCTGTAAACTTTTAGTAATGTAAAATGTGTAAAAAATTGTAAAAATGCTAACTGTAATGTAATGTGAAAAAATGGTTGCAAATTATTAAGGATTGTAAAAAATTAAAAATGTTTTGAAATTAAATTAGTTTTAATTTAGAATTTTTTAAAAAGTTTTTAATTAAAGTCAGAAATTTATTGTAATAGTCTTAATTTATTAAAACTGAATTTCAACATGTTTAATCAAA